TGGATTACCCAAGAAATGGACACCCAAGGTCACATCGATTGAGGATTCCAAGGATCTCACTAAGTTAAGTCTAGATGAACTTATTGGGTCTCTAGTCATGCATGAATATAAGTTAAAGAGAGAAGACTTGGAAGAACCAAGAAAAGAGAAAAAGGACATAGCTTTCAAAGCTACGTCCCAAGAAGATGATCTGGATTGCCTAGATGAAATGGAGGATGATGAGCTTGCTATGCTCAGCAAGCATGTGGTGAAGCTCCTTAGGATAAGAAAAGAAAAGTAAAGAGGAAGCTTCACTAGCAGATCAAAGGAAGGTGAAATTGATAGAGAAACCAAAAAGGAGGATGACAAGGTTTCAGAAATCGAAGGGAAGGAGCTAGTAATGAAAAACTCCAGCCTCAAGCTGGATGCTTCAGATGCGGAAAGACATGGCACATTAAGGCTGAGTGCCCTCTGGTCAAGAAGGAAAGAGCATATGCTGCTACCTGGTCACTATATTGCTCATTGTTGAAACGAATAGCTAAAGAAAACAAAACAAAAGATTCTTGTCATAAAAATACAGAACATATACATGACATACATACATACCAAATTAGTTCAACCATGGAGGGTATCTAAGCTAGTCTGGATACCCAAAACTAAATAACAGTATCTGTTCTTGCAGACCTGTCTCCAAGTGAGCACGGAAGGCAGCGTTTGGTTGTTGCTAAATCCCTCAAGCATAATAACAAAGTAGAGAGGAAGCATCAGCACATTTTGGTTGTTGCTAAAGTCCTCAAGTTTCAGGCCGATCTTCCAATATGATTCTGAGGTGATTGTGTGAAACATGTTTCCTTTCTTATAAATCATGTCCCAACCATTTTCCTATCAAATATGACGGCATAAGAGAAAATATTCAAAAAACCACAAGACCTATTTGCACTAAAAGTGTTTGGTTGTTCATCCTTTACTTCCACCCTCAGTAACCACATAACCAAGGGCTAGACAAGGAGTTTTTATAGGTTACACACCAGGTATAAAGGGTTATAAGATTTATCACCTTGACAATCATGATACAATCCTTTCCAAAGATGTTCATTTTTACGAAAATTCATTTCCCTTCAAAGACCTTGAATCACTTTTTCCTCCACCCTCATCTGACAGTAATGCCTACAACCTCTCTCCCCACATCACACTTGATTTCCCCACATCCACACCCACTCCTTCACCTCCACCTCCACCTGATTACCCCAATTCATCACCTTCCCCACCCACTGCTCCTTCTTCCACCCCACCACAAGCACCTTCCCCAGCAGTTGACCAACCAGTTCAACTAGATGCTCCAATATCTATTAGAAAACCATCTAGAGCAACTAAAACCCCTCTCCACCTTCAAATTTACCATTGCAACTTGCTGCAACAGTCTTCTTCTACCAAAAAGCAACCAAGTTAAGGTATTACATATCCTCTTTCTGCTGTGTTGAGTTATGATACCTTTGTTATGGAAATTGTTCACGTATACTAAATCTTGCAAAACAAGTAACATATAAGATCATGAAAACATGCAAAGACATATGCAACATCCTAACCAACATAATTCAATATCTCTCCATAAGGGAATATTATTCCCCTCTAGTACCCAAGGTTATGGAATGATTCCTCCCACGATAGAAATGACGTACCTTTCCGGCGTAGCGGTACCTCAAATCCCAAAAACCATCAAACGCAGTAAGATGGCGAGAACCACACTTGACTCTATTTTCTCTTTTGAAAACAATGTAGAAAAAATCACTTTTGATTTGGGTAGAATTTTGGCACCAGGAAAATCGTGTAAAAAGTAGAGGGGTAGGTGCTTATTTATAGAGAATGAAGAGGTGCATACGAAGGGAGGCAACTATTCGTATGGGTGGTTACACCCCAACCATTGCATTGGTTGGTTCAAAATTTCTCAAACATTGCATCAATTCGGCCTATGGTAGTTGGACAGGTTTGGTTATTCCAACTGCCACATCGGTTCGATTTGGTTCAACTCGATTCGGTTTGGTCTGGTTCGTTACACAAACCAATTCAACCAATTACCCACATATTACATCAAATCGATCAAATTTGAGGCCGCGCCTTTCCACATCTTACCAACATTGTACTTCAAGAGATTCTCTTGGAACTTGGTAGCCATGAAACAGCTTAGGAATTCACTTATCATAAAGAAAATATACACTTGAAATCATTGATGAAACAAATTTCTTACATTCTAGACCAGTCACAACTTTTATAGACTATAAAGACCACTTATCAGCTGAACATGAAGACTGTTTCACTGATCTTGACCTATAAAGAAGACTTGTTGGTAAAATTGTTTACCCAACTACTACTAGGCTTGACATCAGCTATGCAACACATCAAGTCAACCAATATAAGTCAAATTCGAGTGCTCAAAACTTCAAGGCAGTTACTCGCATCTTAACGTATCTCAAATCTGCACCAACAACTGGTCTCTTCTTCCCTTCCAACTCACCTCTCCAGCTCAAGGACTGCAGTGACTCTAATTGGGCTGCTTGTGTCGATAATAAACGTTCAATCACTAGTATTGAATATACCTTGGCAACTCTTTAGTCTCCTGGAAAAGTAAGAAGCAACACACATTATCTCGATCATCCTGTGAAGTCGAGTACAAAGCTCTTGCTTACACGACTTGCGAGGTGCAATGGCCCTCTATCTCCTTCATGACTTTTGTTTCTCTCATCCTCAACCTGCAACAATATTTTGTGACAATCAATCAATGGTATTAAATGCTGAAAATCCCTCTTTCCACGAAAGGACAAAGCATATTGAAATCGACTGTCACCTTGTTCGAGAAAAATCACAAGCTCAGACAATCAAACTTCTCCGTGTTCCCACTGCTCACCAACTCGTAGACTTATTCACAAAGCCTTTGCCACCTGCTCCTTTTCTCGTATCCTATCCAATTGGAGTGCATAATTTATGCCCTCAAACTTGCCGGGGGGGGGGGGGGGGGGGGGGGGGGGGTATCAGTATCATGGGAATCACAAATTTCTCTCTCATCTTCAAGCTCAAGACTTCAACCCTCGTCAAACACAAAGCAGATGAGTGTTAGTTGGAGCGACGTCGTTCAAGGGAGAGAAAGGCGCCAAAAGCAAGATGCCACAAAGTTTAAACCTTTCCCCTGCATTTTCCTTTACCATTTTTTGTTCTTGCTTTCCACTTGGACTGTAATGCATGGTAAAGGATATATATATATAAATCCACAATCAATTAGAATGAGACAAGTTTCTAGGGTTTTGATTCCACAACTCTGTTGTTAAGGGAAGGATACATATTGTGATTTTTTTTATCTGTGATAGGGATTGTGATTGCATTAGGTGGGATCCTTCTGGTTTTTAGTCAATATTTAATTATTTTAATTAAATTTATACATAAAAAATGAAAGTATTTTGGCGAAAGCGGCCAATTTTGGTTTTTCAGGTATAAATTTGACTAGATAAGAACCGTTTGGTTTTGCTAAAACCGTTCAAGAAATAGTTAGATTTTTTGTTTCTATTTTTGTCAACAACTAAAATCGGTTAATGTGGTCTGAATTAATTGGTTCAGACCATTATCCACCTCTATAATAAAGTGATCATCATGAGTTAATTATCATTCTACACAACTTAAATGAGTTAATTCAAATCATTAGATTAAAATTAAAGGTTAGTACCACTAAAAATACTAACCTACAACGACATTGTCATTTATATTATGTAACTTCAATAATTACAGTAATATTTCAAACTATTGGATTCAGAGTCATTTGTGTTACACATATTTCAGTTGACTGCTAAAGTTGACAGTTGACCTAACGATTTTCAATCTGTGCTTGATCATTGATGACGTGTAGGGATGGCAACAAAACCCGAACCCACGGGTACCCATCCGACCCAACCCGGTCAACGCGGATAAAATTCGTGTTGACGGGTTTTGAGCCGGGTTTGGGTTTAAACCCGTTCACTATTCACCGGGTTGGGTTGGGTTTGGGTTTAGGTAAACCCGGCCCGTGGGTACCCGCCCACTCATATAATTATTTTTTTCAGTATATTTAATATTCTAAACAACTATTCTTATTTATGTTTGTGGAGACATGTCTAATTTTTTCTTTTTAATTGTGTAGAATGAAGTTGATGTTATGGAGTGGAGACTAAAGAAACTTAATTGAAAGAAAGAAGCTTTCAATTAAACATGTTATTTATGGATAATTTTAGATTTGCTTCAATTTTCATGAGTTTTCTAGATTGGTGTTGAACAATTTGTATAGTTAATTTGTGATTTGCTTGAATTTTCTAGAATGGTGTTTTATATATGGATAATTTATATTGAGAGATTGATATTTGACTTTAATTTTGATAAGAACTTGTCATTGTAAATTTTTTACGACAAAACCCGTGGGTACCCATGAACCCGCGGATACCCAACGGGTTGGGTTTGAGTTTTTCAAACCCGGTGGGTTTTACCCCGGGTTTTTTTCAAAGATAAACCCATGGATTTGGATTTGGGTTTGGCAAAACCCGACCCAACCCGACCCATTGCCATCCCTAATGACGTGTTGCTTATGTGTCGTCCACATTTGTGCCTCGTAGGATGGACTGATTACCCCTCATTGACTCATTGTCACCGTTTGCGGCCTACATCAAATCTTCTCCAATGGTCGGAAGAGGAAGAGCTTGAGACGGAATGACGGCCTCAGGCGGGCCAAAATCTTCTTAGAGTTGTAGATACATGTGATTCAAATCTTCTTCTTATTAGTGTGTGATTTATTTTTCTTCCATATTTTTTTTATTAAAACATTCCTTGTTAGAAGTCATGTCATCGTTTACTGTATTTTCTGTAAAAAAACTTAATCCAAAAAAACATATTAAAAGTTGCATAATATATGTGACAATGTCGGTAAAAGTGAGTATTTTTTTTTGTGTGATATTATTAGCCCTAAAATTAAAATGAAAAGCCACGATATACTGAGTCACGCCCCGGAGAATCAGTAGAATAGATTCAGAGAACTGAGACGCAACCACGACCTTAGTAGTCATAAACTTTTCCCGTCTTCGTTTTTCTGGTTTGCGAAAGTACGAACCAAATAAAGGAAGAGGAAGAAGAGTCACGGCAGCTCTCAAATCCCGGCATCTGGGCTGCCATTTTTCACACTAAAAGAGGAACCCGCCTCCGACTCTTCTCCAGAATTCTGTAGTCTTCCTTTGTTTCTCCTTACACCCCAGCCTTCTCGATCAGTGCTCTGGCAATATTAACTCTTGAGCAGCACTAAAGCAGACTGAGATTCTGTGATTTCTTCCTCATTCTGCGGATCTTTCAATTTCCGCCTGTTTTGGAGGGGTTACTGGCGAAGGACAGAGGTTTTCTTATTACTGGGCTGCAGCGGTTCGTTTTGTGCAGGTAATCGAAGTTTGTTGAATTCTGTACTTCTGGAGGGTTCTTAAGAAAACCCTTCTGCGAGATTTAATGATGGACTTTGTCATTTTGGTTGATTTTTCCGTTTAAGTGAAGTGAAAATGCATGCTTAGACTCAATGGTGATGATGCTAGATTCGTGTTCTTCTTTGTGCGTGCTTTATTGTTCTGGGATGATGGTGATGGAAAACTGGTGGCTACCATTTAATCGCTGATAGTTGGTTTTGTGTTATCTGTTTTCAGTCTGCCATGTATGTTGGGTTAGTAGTTCAGTCTTTCCTGTCCCCAGATGTCGCTATATCTGCTCCTGCTCTACCCATTTATGGCTTTGATTTTGACACATGCTATCTAGTACTGGAATTGCTAACAAACCTGCTGCACAGGCACTGATCCTGTGGAGAAGATCTGCGAGCCTACAAGGATTTTCTAAACATGAATGCCAAGATGGGTTCTTTCCGCTATGGCCTTGCCGAGAAGAGGGAGAGATTGCTTTCCATGAAGGGACAATCAGTGTTCGGTTTTCCCAACATTGAGAAAGAAGATGAACCTAGAAGTTGCTGTTCATACAGGTTCTTTTCTGATAAAATTGTTGAGTTCTGCAGAACAATCCAGGATTTCGGTATTATGGCTGTTGAGATGGGGAGGTCGGATCCCAGAAAGATTGTTTTTTCTGCAAAAGTCGGTTTGACTTTGATGATTATATCTCTGCTGATCTATTGGAAAGAGCCGATGAAGGAGTTAAGTCAGCACTCTGTTTGGGCTGTTCTTACTGTGGTCGTTGTCTTTGAGTTCAGCATAGGTAAACTCCATTTTCGATCAATATGTTTGCTCACCATTACTTCCAGATAATTTCAAGGGGTTGATTGCATACTACATGTGATAACACATTGATGGATGGAAAAGTCCAGTCAGCTGCTTATTGATTGGGCTTCATTTAATAATAAGGACTTTTTTTTTTTTATTCTTGCCTGAACATCTTATTGGATAAAATTAATAAGACATTTGTTTCGAAATAATCTCAACACGAACAAAGTAGGCAGGAATTGGTTGGTATTAGTTTACTGGTAGCTAACGATCGTTCACTTGCAATGTTCAGATAATTTGCTTCATTAAATTGGATATGGTGGAAGTATACATGAGGTATCCTGTTTACATGCTTTTGCTATATGCATGTGTCTGTGTCTTGATATTCCTCCTTATGTAGCCACTAGCCAACATGTGTCCATTCGTTTGTGTTTTGGTACGTTGGTAATGGATGCGGCAATGTTGAGGACTTTACAGTTTGGGTTTTGAATTCATTGTATGAATAAGCACATCTACCAGTTGGGAGTGTGTTAAGATAAAAAGTAAGGAATTAGCGGTTGGATTTCACAGAGGTTAGTTTGGGTTTTGCTATATGCATGATAGTATTGATGTCCTTATTGATTGGATTTAAGGCATGGGTTGACCAACTTTGTGTTCTATTCTTTGGGTGTGTTTATTTGGTGTTCCTCTAAAAAGTTACTAACTAGAGATTTAAGGTTTAGTAGTTGCAAAGCAAAGAGGGTTGTTTGATAAGTTTTCTGCAGATAAAAATTTAGAGTTTGTTTGAGTTTTTTTTTGTGCTAATTAAAATTTGGGAACAAAAAAGATAGATACAAACACACACACACACACACACAGGTTATTCGTCAAAAGAAAAAGAAACATGTTCTCTTTGTACTTATTTACTATCTTGCTGCATTATATAAGCATGCAATAATTATGTTATGAATCTTAATTAGCTTGAACAAGACGATCAATTTTTTTAGGCACATTTGGGATTGTACAAGTGATAACAATAACTTCACTTGATTTGAAAAACAGTTTATGGTACCGATCAAACAATCAGATGGGTCTTTGTTGCACCATGTTGAAGATATTTTGTTGGATTCATCCGAGTTTTATGGGATACCTTATCTAGCTCTGATGCATGTGATCTAGACTTGTCATTTTTCTGACATAAAGATTTGTTATGTTCCGTTATGTATCCATTCTATTTTTTCTTTAGGTGCTACTCTTAGCAAAGGTTTCAACCGTGGACTTGGAACTTTATCAGCTGGTGGACTTGCTCTAGGAATGGCAGAGTTGTCTCAATTGGTCGGGGAGTGGGAAGAAGAAGTTATCGTCATTAGCATCTTCATCATGGGTATGGTTTCAGTAATGTCTTTGTAGATATGACATTTCTCTGCAATTAGTTATTGGTTAGGTATCATTCTCTGACATTCTGCTAATTTGCCAGGGTTTTGTGCAACATATGCAAAGTTGTTACCCCCTCTTAAGCCCTATGAATATGGCTTTCGGGTATACCTGCTAACTTATTGCATGGTAATGATATCTGGGTATCAGACACGTGAATTTATCCACACAGCAGTTACACGGTTTCTGCTTATTGCATTCGGTGCGGGGGTCTGTTTGGCAATAAACATATTCATTTATCCTATTTGGGCTGGCGAAGACTTGCACAACTTGGTAGCAAAAAATTTCATGAATGTGGCGACTTCTCTGGAAGGTAAAATTGCACCTATTTTTTTATTTTACCCTGTAAATAAAATTTACAAAATATACTCTTTTTTGTCTCCTATAAAATTCTTTCTTGTTTCATATTTATCACTCGGTTGTTATTATTTTCTTTTGTTTTATAATTAGGTTGTGTGGAGGGGTACCTTAACTGCGTTGAATATGAAAGAATCCCATCGAAAATCCTTACGTATCAAGCTTCTGATGACCCACTATACAGAGGCTACAGATCCGCTGTCGAATCTACAAGCCAAGAAGATGCACTGGTATGGTTCATTTGTAGTTCTTACCTGCTCGATGATACATGTAGTGAAGAGCAAGATTTTCTTCTCTTTAACCGGCTATTCTCTAGTTGTTCATTAAAGAACTGGTGATTCTCTTATCTTCACCGTGAAGATGAGTTTTGCAGTTTGGGAGCCTCCTCATGGTCCGTACAAATCGTGTGGATACCCATGGAGCAATTATGTCAAAGTAAGTGGGTCACTTCGGCATTGTGCATTCATGGTAATGGCTCTCCATGGATGCATACTCTCAGAAATACAGGTGATTCCTATCCTTGCCTTTACTGCCAGTTGAGGATGCTTCAGCTCTTTTTTTTTTCTGCCATAAGTTTGCATTTATACATATCAAAACTTTCTTGGCATAGTCCCTTCAGCTCTCATTTTGGCCTGATCAGATTTCTTAGTTGTTCAATGCACAGGCCCCTGCTGAAAGAAGACAGGTGTTTCGGCAGGAGTTGCAGAGGGTAGGTGCTGAAGGGGCTAAAGTGTTACGGCTACTCGGTAACAAAATCAAGAATTTGGAGAAGCTAGGTCCAGTAGACGTACTATATGAAGTCCATGAAGCCGCGGAAGAGCTGCAAAAGAAGGTGGACAAGAAATCATACCTCCTCGTGAATGCAGAATGTTGGGAGATTGGATCACGGGAGAAAGATATGGGAGAGCCACAGGATATGCTGACTTTTGATGACGACGAAGAAAACCAGTTTGTCGAGTACAAGGCTCATAGTGAAGCTCTGCTGAATTTGAGGTCGCTGACTATTCCGAAGAGTTGGGATGATAGAGTACCTCCAGGGGTTGCCTCACAGGATCCTGCGTATGCAAAACAGACATCTTGGCCTAAACGCCATTCATTCACTGCTGCATCCCTACCCCAGATAGAAGAATCAAAGACCTTTGAAAGTGCAAGTGCATTGTCTCTTGCAACTTTTGCATCACTTTTGACCGAATTTGTTGCGAGGCTGCAAAACATCGTAGATGCTTTTCAGGAGTTGAGCGAGAAGGGAAACTTCAAGGATCCCATCGACGAACCAGTGGCAGAGCCGGTTGGGTTCTGGACCAGATTGGTGAAGCGTGTGAATTTTTCTCGAAGCAGTAGTTGATACTTGATAGTAATACACGCATGGTTGGAGAATGGAGAAGAGATCTCTTTGGAAAAGCCCTTTTCTTGGGGGGAATCCTAGCGTGTGACTAACTGAATTGTAAACCTGATTATGTAACTTCCTCACTACAAAGCCCTTCTCTTGAGACTACTGTTGTCTATCCAAAAAAATTTCAGACTACACGAAAGTGATATTAGGCGGTTATTGAAAGAAGATGAGGTTGTTGCTTATTGTTGTCAACTTGATGGATTGGGTGTTGCTTACTTTCTTGGAATTGAAGACACTTTCCTGGAATCGCTGATTCTATTGGAATTGAATACAAATAGACAATAATATCAAGATCGAGTACTAATTGTATATCTAAGACAGTGAATCACTTTAGGATATAGTACAGTTCTATGGAATGGAGTGACAATCTTTTTATATTTGAAAATATTTTTTTAGTCCCATTCTTTTTAGTATATAGAATATTATACATTTGAACATTTTGCTAATTTAGTATATATTAGAGGATGCTTTTGGGTCAGATTTTGAACCGGCAATTCATTCACTTTTCTGCAATAATTTAGTATCGGATAGTTTTGATTGAGTATTTCAGTCCTAAATATTATGTTTGAATAGCAAAATAGAAATGTGATTGAGAATTTCAGTCCTAAATATCATTTTTGAATAGCAAAATAGAAATGTGATATGTGTTGTGGTATTTTCATATGCTACAAATCTTATATGGGAGCTGATAGGTACACACACAATTCTATACTGCAAAACCACAATTTTTAACCTTCCAATAAGTAGAATCTAACAGTCAAATCATAATCTTAATTCCTCCCACAATCTTCTGTCCTCATATTCTCAAAAAACGGACCGGGACCGGATCAATCCATGCCAATTTAATCGGATCGGACCGTATAGCCACCCCTAATCCTAAGGCCCTAGTCACTTCCATTTTCGTTTCCTGTTTTCATGTCATAAATTTGGCAACCGAAACGAGAAAACCTGTTTACTTTTCGTTCTTCTTTCTATTTGTTTCCAACTCTGAAAACAGAAAGTGGCAGCTTCCTGCTGTTTTCGAAAACGGTTTTCACCTGTTTTTAATATCTGTTTTTTCAAAAAAAGGAAGCAGAAATGAAAGTAAACATGCCCTAACAGTATCATACAACCATCATATCACTGTGGTAAGACTTCATAATATCATCTCAACATTGTATGCCATGATTTTACTACAAGGGTGGCCCACACGCGCGAGAAGGCGCGCATGGCTGCTTTAATAATAATATTTTCCCTTTTTTGTTACTTTTAGTGTTTGATTTGATTGTTTTGGTCTCTAATGGATAGAATAGGCTAACGACCATATTTTCCAACGATAATATTTTTCCAACTATATAAATAGAATTTATTCTTTACTTTCTGTCAACACTTCTTACATTTTTTTCCTACCATCCAAACCAAAAATTCTCTTCTTTTCCCAAACTCTCTGTAATAGTAATCATGGTTTCTTCCAGCACCGATCGCAATTCAAATTACACAATGTCTGAAGACCTTGTTTTGTGCAACGTTTGGATGGAGGTTTCGCAAGATCTTATCATCAGTCATTACCAATCTTCACCAACTTTCTGGACGCGATTTGGAGAGCTATATTCTGCGAATGGTTTTATGATCAGCCATACCGATGACGCCTAGAAGACTCAATAAAACTATATCAACCATTCATGTCAGAAGTGTAATGTGGCATGGAGTAGTGCAAATGTTAATCCACTGAGCGGATCTAATCACCGCGATGTGGTTAGTCCATTTCTAATACATCTTAATTTAATTAATAACATATTTTATAATTATTAACCGTGTGTTTCATTTTCAATTATGTATGTGGGTTTAATTTTTACTTTTAAGTAACCTAATTTTTTTATTTATAATTTTTAACCATATGTATTATTTTTTTAAATAATTGTCTATATGGATCACGCAAAGACTATTTTCAAGGTGGACACGAAGAAAGAATGAAAGTTGGAAGAATGTTGGACACTACTCCGAGACCGTCCAAGATTTATGCTACAACTTTATGCCTCTGTTGACTGTTGCACCCATTCCACCACTGGATGGATCCCCATCGGCTATGTCAAACGACGAACATGATATCCCTGTACGTCAAGTAGCTGCTGCTCCAAGAGTGCTTAACCGTCCCGAAGGTCGAGATCAACAAAAGAGGAAGAAAAGAGGAGGTGGTGATTCTTCTTGCATGGATGCTTTTCAAAGATTTTGGTGGACATGGCGAAAAGTTCGGCAACACATGCAAGATTGGCTGTCATTAGGGAGGAACGGGAGATAGCAAAGGAAGCAAGGGAAAAAAATAAGTACAAGTGAGAAATAATGTTTTAGGATATTTCTCAATTGGATCCTCAACAAAGAGCATGGTATCAAATTCAAAGATATCATATTGTATCTGTGTACCAACAAAATCCAAGTTCTGAACCACCGGGGGATCTAGCAGTAGCCCGTTTGATGACACTTGCAACCTCGACCTGTAATCTTGAATAAGTTGTACCATTTATAGTTGATGTATGCTTTATTTTTAGTCTGTTTGCATAAAGTGCTTTGAATGTACCATTGTTGTATCCTTAATCTTTAGTGTGTTAGCTTTAAATACTTTGAATTTACTCTTGATGTATCCTTTTTAATTATGTTTATGTTTAATTATTAAGGTAACAAATTTCTTTATTAAGACACCCGAATATAAAAATATACTGATAATAGTCAGTTTAAAGCACAACAAAAAAAAATGCACAAAAGACATAAAGTAAACTCAACACACAACACAAATCCAAGTAATCAAAGTGCACAAATTAAACTTAGAGCCACACCACACCATATTACTACTCCCCTCCTCCTTCTCTTGTCCACAAATGCTCAACCAAATCCGCTATCAACGCATGATGCCCTTCACGGTTACAAATCCTATTATGCCTTATCATATAATCCATGAGAGTCGGAGTGTCATGATTCGGTGGATCCAACGTGACATCTGGATTAGTCTCATATTCAATCCTCTCCACGTGTTCCTCTCCAAACTCATGTCGTTGGTCTTGAACTATCATATTGTGTAAAATAACGCATGTCAACATCATTTTCCCTAATGTTTGTATATCCCAATATTGACCTGACGTAACAATGACCCATCTTTCTTGTAGAATGCCAAATGGTCTCTCAATATCCTTGCATTATGCCTCTTGCCATTTTCAAACAGTTTCTTCTTCTAGTTACTAGAGTTGCTAATGTTTTTTCACAAATGTAGACCATTCAGGGTAAATGTCGTCAGCCAAGTAGTAACATTAATTGTAAGTTGTACCATTTACCGTAAACCTGGAGTTTGGAAGATTTCCTCTGATTACTTCATCGAACAGCGGGGAGACTCCAAGCGTGCTTATGTCATTGTTTGGTCTGGGACTTCCGAAGAAGGCATGTCATATCCAGGTGTCTTATGATGCTAGAGTTCCAGGATAATGGTTAGCCTCCCCTTGTATCCCATAAATTGTCCTTGCCACGCCATTGCACAATTTTTTTCACTCCTAGTGCTTGTAGTTGATCGAACCGATCATACACGGGAAGCTACGCCGATCGCTGTGATGAAGAAGGCTTCCTGTGAAGAAGGCTTCCCGTGTATAAATCAGTCAGGCGTAATAGGGTCCTGACATCGCTGTGATCGAACTGATTTATGTTGATGTGAAAGATGTCGAGATGATGAGTATGCTTGCTCTTGGAAGAGGAAGGCTCCTGACATCACCATCATCTATTGACGATCACAGTCGAGCTGGCACTCATACTTCCATTGTCTCTCATAAGCTTCTCTACTAGGGAAACTCGTGATGCAAAACGAGGTTTGGATGTGTAGAGAGAAATACAAAGTAGAGAGAATGAAGAAGGTTGAATGTTGAGATGAATAGATTGACAAAGTTTAGCCTTCATTTATAGAAACACGAAAAGATTCTCGAGCGATAATATGATTACAACTGGATGAACAGTTGATGGCACCAATCAATATGATTAAAGTTGGATGAACAGTTGATGACACATGTCAATCTGATTAAACCTGGATGACAGTTGATTTTACAACTCAATCTGATTAAACATGGTCAAAAAATTGATGGCACCACTTATTTTTGTGAAACATGTGATGAGTCATGGTCTTCTACAAATTATTGTGATTTCATCATTGATGATGTCATATTAAATAGTGATGAAAAAATTGTATCAAAATAAAAAAAATATAGAAATGTTCGTCTTAATTAATTATGACTACTTATGTCAAAATAATGACCAAATTATCAAAATAATGTGACGAGATCAACTATAAATTGATTTTATAAAAAAAAACATATACCAAATACATTCTTTTCCCTCCCTACCCATTATGGTCAAACCCTACCCCACCCTCTTTTCCCTCCCACATTGTGGGTGGTCTTACGAAGAATAAAATGAATTAATCAAATTTTAATGAGAATTGGTCTAACCCCGTGTGGGTCATGTCAATTGTTTGCATGACCTAACTGACTAACCCATTCCAAGCCAAGTATAATTCGAAATGGCGTTGTTAATATAGTGCTAACCAAGATCGTATTCCACGAATTCTGATACCCTAGGCTTCTTCCCACGTTGTTATTATCTAGCCAATCTGCTTACAATACAAAAAAGGCAGACAATTGTGACGAAAATTTACTGACGACTCAGAAATTACGTCGAAAAAGAGGCCTAATTCCGATGAAGAACCATTTTCATCAGTAATATATGCATAATTACTGACAGAGTTGAATATTCGTCAATAATTGTGTTTTCATTCGCGCTCGATAATAGGGGTCGTTCCCCATTTTGGACCGGTTTCAATTTCTCACGCTCATTATTTTTGACGATTTCATTTTCCGTGTTAGAAATAATCAATATTACTGACCAATAAAAAATTGTCGTTAGAAAAAAAATGATTATTATTGACAACAAAGACACGATTGTAATTTTTTTTTTATTAATTTTGACGCCATAAACAGTTCATCAACACTAAATGGTCAGGAAAAAATATTTTTTTGACACCATTAAAAGTTCGTAAGTATTATTTGGTAAAAAAAACTAATTTTGATGCCATAACCAGTTCGCCAGTACTAATTGGTCAGTAAAACATCATTTTTACGCCATAAATAGTTCGCCAGCAATAAATTATCAGAAAAAATTATTTTTGACACTATTATCAAAACACCTAGACAAGTGACAACACATTGAAATTCATTTTCTTTTATAATCCCCTAATCAGACAGTGAACAATGACTAGCTTGTTTGCATAAAAAAGCTAGTCACTCGACTCCTACTAGTGTTTGCGAGTGGCTTTCCATAAGCGCCACTCGACTCCTCCTTGTGTTCATTCCTAGTAATGTTATACCTTCAACAGAATGAACATCACTAACTTTGAGGAGCAAATATGTAGAACCTTATTGTTCTAATACCATGTAAAATCCAATAATATAGAAGAAGAAAACTAACTCACTCGACCAGAATTTACACTAATATCTTGCTCAATGTGAACGAGACTACTCCACGAAGAAAATAGATAGGATCTTATAAAGAAACTATATTTTCCTTATATAAGACATGACCCCCAACTCGCAATTCAAGAAAGGATAAGTTACAAAATAACCCATCGAATAAGAACCAAGAACAGTTAAGTCCAGGCTACCACGATCATACAACACATGCTACACATTTATGACTCTGAATCCCACTTGAGTCTATTCTCTGTTTAGCTTTTATGTCCTATTGGCTATTGCCCTTCTACTTATTTCTTATTTCTTATTTTACAGCTTATCGTATAATTTCAATCTATCAAAATGGATATTTATATTTTTATTGGTACTTCGAGATAAATTTGATTTTATTCATCGTTCCAGTTTTCACACCACATACATCGAATATTGTATATGAATATTCCAACCACATTATATAAATACTATAATTATGTTATATGAATATTATCAACTTTCTATCGAAAAACGTTTAAAATACTAATATTCATGTTGTTAGATTGAAAAAGTTTTGAAGTAAGGTTTGTTGACTAATGTTTTTCAAAAAATAACATCTACTAATTGTAAAATAAAAAAATGAAATAGGGTTACAAGAGTGTCCTATAGATTGGAGGTGAAGACGACAAAGAAGAGGTTCGCCAAAATGACACCAGACAATCCAATGTCTTCTTTATCTTTTCTTTCCCTCTGCAAATTTAGTCATAGTCATACTTGTAGGTTCGAAGCTCTCGTTGAACCTTCATAAGAGTAGATTAATTTAGTTTAGATATGTCTCGTAGATCATAAAAAAAAACATCAACCACCCTTGTTTGAACTTTGTTCAAAAAAGTGAGAACTGTGTTTATTTTATAGTTGTTCAAAAAGTCAAGCTGAAAATTCAATTATGTCAAATCTAGTTTTCTTCGCCGGTAAACCATGAGATTTGGTAGTTGCATTTGTTGGTCATCTCATCCTCCAATTTGAAGTTTTCTGCCCTCCGCTCCTACAACAAATGGTACTGGCGGATGGGACGACGCTTGAAGACACAGATACAAACAGACAACAATGACAAGGTCACAACTTTATAAATCTTCATCACAACCTTGAAGAGAGAACCAAAAATTCAGGTACGCACAAATCCAATCCGAAACACCCTTTCCTTTCACTCTCTACCCGAAAACGCTAACCCTAATTACCCTCGCATAATCGCATTTGCCCCCTCGCCACCTTCCTTGTTCCGGTTCCCTTGGGTAGTTACTGTATGAGTGTTGAATTGAATGTGCCACTTCTTCTTTCAGCTCCCATTTCTGTCGAAGCAGAGATTGCACTTCGTCCAGCACTAGAAACGTTTGGTTTACGTTTTCAACAGTTGAGAATGTGGCGGTGATTGGAGATTCTGAAGTGGCTAGTTTGCTTTTCCTAAGCAGCGATGGCCGAGTGTGCGAACTCGCCATCGTCTCTCGAGCTGCCTGTGTGGAAAGGCTGCGGCAGAGTGGGGAGATGCAATGTGCCTCGGAGCTGTCATCTCTCAACGCCTCACAGGTTTGTTCTCAGGTCATTATCATTCTTTTGTATCAAACGGCAGAACTTCCAATAGTAGGAGAACTTATTGTGCTGACTTGAAGAGGGGAATTAGTGGGTTGCAAATTCTTAGCTGCTTACTTGTCTGTGAATGTGGCAGTCGCAAGAATTTCAGGAGAAGTAGCAAGTTTGAGCTGATCTTTACTCCGAAATGGGCTCCAGCTCGAACATTGAAACCTGTAGTAAGTCCTTTGCGGAAGGATGGTTCGTGGAGTTGTAGTTGCTTGGCAGCTTTGGCGGACCCTGATGGTGCAACGCTCTCTGATTGGGTTTCTGTTAGCAATCAGCTGCTTCTCATGACCAGCATATTTCTTACTTACATGGCTGGGGTAATTCCAGTCCAGAAGTCTCATTCCTCTTCACAGAAGACTGTGTTGGAAGAGAATTCAGTGCGTAAAAACTGGAAGTCTCCTGGTGGGTAAGAATAGCAGATCAGGACTATTATATATTTGGAAGGTGTTAATCGTCTGTCAATGTAAAATTTAAGCTTCATCATTCACTTTTTTGTTTGCTAAAGTTATTACCAATATACAGGGCTAGGAACAGCAACGACCAGGTTAACTCAAATCAGGCCTGGAATGATGTAAAAGCTAAACTCTTGGATTCTTTAGATGCCGTAGAGCACAGCAGTTATTTGGTTGAAGACTTCCTCAAGTCGGAGAAGCAACATCCAAACCGTCCACTAAGTTTGGATGCTGTGTCTGGAGGATCAAAGCTGCACTTACTTTGGGCTTCGTTTTATCACCTTGAGGAAGAGGCAGGCACCGTCTTTACTACTTCCTCTTTATTCTTAGAGTTGATTGTGCTGACATAATCATAGTCATATAGAAAACACATTGGCATCGGGCTGTTCACCAAGTCAATTGATGAAAAATCAATCTATTTTGATTTGAAAAACAATTGGATGATCACTACGAACAAGAACACCCTTGGGTTATAAGAATGCTGGCTATTCATTGCAAGTTGAATAATAAGTTCTTGTTGATGTCCTTGTTACTTGTATCTGACAATGTATCAGAATGTTATTTCTCAAATGTGTTGAATTTCAGGGAGTTTGAGATGTTGATTTCTCTTGTGTGCAGGTAAATGACGTATTAGGTGATAACGATGCAGTTACCTTGGATGGGTGGATGGCAATGTTCCCAAAAGTTATCAATGATTCTTGTCATGCTGTATGCATGACCTGGCTTAAAGAGGAGCTTCAGCTTGAAAGTAATAAATCTGACAAGGTACATTAAAGTATACCGATTATTTCTGCTTAAGGTTTTTGCAACCAGTTTGTGATGGAAATCCTGTTTGCTTTTTTCTGTTCCCAGGTGCTAGCTTCTTTGATGATTGAGAAGTTAAAAAGAGACGATGCTGCATTACGAAATATTAGAAAGTCTGGCAAGGAAGATCTTTATGCAGAGCTACTCTACTTTCTTAAATTTGGGTCTGCTAGGTATGTTCACTGATATTGCTTATCATTTGTTTTCCTGTTAGCAACTTGGAGTTAATGTCTTAATTTAACCTGTAGCAGCCAAGCCATGGAAAGAAAATGAATTTAACTGGTTTATCATCTTTGTTATGCATTCTAGTAAAAAACATGATTCTGTATAGAAATTACATGTGGTGGTGGTGGTGGTGGGGGGGTGGGGGGGGGGGGGGGGGGGGTGGGGTTGAGTCAATCAATCTGTTGATGGTATGTTCATTAATTGAGTAAATATTTCACCTCATTCATAACATTCTTGGGAGAACATTTTTGTAAAGATTACGTTTATAAATTAACGGTATGGGGGTGGGGTGCTGGGCTTGTTTGTCTTCCTTGGTCAGCCATTCACTTTGACCTCTTTGCTTCTGTGATGGCAGGAATGCTCGTTTGTATGATCATAGCCTGTTTGTAACGCATGGAGATTCCATATTAGAGGATTTGGTCATAAACATAGCTGATGGTATAGCTAATTTGTATTTAGAGCTTATATCTGTAGATGGAAGTTTGCCGGATGGAATGAATGACCTTGGTACGGCTATGTGCAGTTTGTCAACTCGAGCACTGCAACGGTTACGCAATGAGGTATTGGTTCTTTTTGCGTGAGCTTGTATTTTTGCCTTTGGGCATCAGTATGAACTGTTATTACCTGGGTTACTATTTGGGTTTTCCGTTTGGGTCTTTCTGTATTTCTTCCAACCGCCTAATGGGAAGACAGAAAACCATGTTGTATTCTTTGACTTGCCCTCTCAGTCAGCTTGTTTTTGTCATTGTTGACATTTGTGGACTTCAATCTTTGTTGCCTCAGAAGGTCATTGAAAAGGTTTCGAAGCCATTGCATTAAATTTGCTGTCCGACTTCTTTTATTGCTTGTTTTCGTGGGCCAAGATGCAAACTGTCAGTTACTATGTCAAAAGAAAAGTTGAGTCCAGGTCTGGGTTTTTGGCATAAGTTTTAAGAAATTTTCTCTCCAACCCGATTAATAATCCCCATAAAAGAAAACCCTTCACAATAACATATGACTGGCTTAGCTGATGGGGAAATATGGTGTGAGTCCAAATGCTTTGAGTCCGGGTCTGGGTTTTTGGCCTAAGTTTGAAGTAACAATAAGATTTTTTTTGTGTGTCAGATTGCTCTGAATCAGTGGTTGTATCAGAATATGGAAACTGTTGCATCGATATACGAAGATCGTTTTGATCTGTGTATTCTTCAACTGAAAGCGATCAAGGAACCAACCCATACTCAGGAGGGTGATAACACTAGTTGGTGGAAACGGCTTTCTCTTACGAAATCTGTCGCAGTATCATCTTCATTTGATTGCATTGTCATCTGCCAGTTCCGTATGCCTGCAAAAAGGACCAAAGAGTTAAGGGCTTTGATAGGATGGTAAAAACTATCTTCCTTTGCTGCACCCCGCTCTTTTTTTATAATCCATATTGCAGAGCACATCGATTGCTCAGTCCTAGAGCCGCATTGCAAATTCATTACCTGATCCACTGTTTCAATCACGAAAGAAGTACTAGACTTCCTTTTGCTTAATGTTATATCTTGTTGTTGCAGGAGATACTACTACAGTCTATACCTGGAGTTATATGACATTGGATTGCCATTGGTTAGAGCAGTTATTGATAAAATCAGCAGCGCCATCTCATTTTTTCTTGTTACCTTGATTGGAAGGTCCCTAGGCCTCATCTACTCTGGCATTAGACAGTCCCTGCGCTGGAAATGAGATTGGATGCGATACATAATTTCTGGTTAGATATTATTGCTCGATTTACTTGCTAGGCTTGCTTTTGTGGCTTGGCGTGTAAGTAGTCGGGTGTCGAAAAAGTGGATTTGCTTCTTAATTCCTGGCTGAAGCCTTCAGTTTTGCTGCATGCTTCTCGCCCTTAGTTATTTCATGGAAGTCTGAAGCCCGGGTATGGAGTAAGTTCAACGCAAAGGACCAGGCATTGCTTACTGATGGTGGGAGGCAGACATGTCGACGGGAACTCTAGAACTGTTGCAGCTGGTTTGAGTTTTGGGTAGCAGTTTCCTGGCATTGAAATTCGGCGAACATAGCTATGAGGAACTTGGGGTGAGGATTTTGTTACAAACTATTTTTTCACGTAGAATAAGCTGCTTATCTCATTTCTACTTGTTCTTATAATAATACTGTTCTGCTATTATTGATGGATATAACGTCCGTGTGCGTTACCATGACGAATAAAATTTTATTCCACCTCTCATCTGCATGTAGGAATTTGCTACCATCATATGTTTACTACTAGGACTAGGAGCGAGAGTATGATATACAATGTATGCACCCAAAGGTGGCAATTTCAATCCAATCCACCAATCCAATCCATCAATCCATTAAAAATATCCACCTAATCCAATCCATTTAAATCCAATCCATTTGATCCAAATCCAATTGGATTGGTGGATTCATGGATTGGATCCATGGATCATTGGCAAATTACGGTTTAGTACCTATAATTTTTATTTTTTACATTTTGGCACCTAAAATTTAATTTTTTATATGAAAAATATCATTGGAAAATTACGTTTTGGTACCTAAAATTTTTCATTGTGACATTTTAGTACCTAAACTTTTTACATTTTACATATTGGTCCTTGGTTGAGGATGTCATTTGGATTCATGGATAATCCACCAATCCACTTGATCCAATCCATGAATTCACCAATCCATTAGATCCAATCCATTTGATCCATGGATCCACCAATCCAATCCACCAATCCACCAATCCAATCCATTTGCCACCTCTATATGCACCCAACTAATAATCGAACTCCTGGTAAAAGAGCTTGTTTAGTCACAAAATGAGCAACCTTACCTTATTGAAACTCTAGGTAAAAAAAAACAAGAACATAAAGCAAAGTTATGACTCTAGCCTTCCAACATCTTCTAGAATATTTGGACTGAAGTATCGCCAACCAAGACCCGCCGAATCACCAATTGAGAATCAACAGACTTTGACAACAAAAAAATTCCTAGTTAGACACCAATTCATCGCTTCATGCAAAGACAAAAGTTCCATTGGAAAAAAGTCACGAATACCGTCATAGAACTTATAGAGGACAATAATTATGCTGACCACCATTCCTCCATTTGAGCTATGAACTGTCTTATAGTTCATTTGCAAACCACTAACAATAAAATATGTGAAATCATCTATGATTTGATTGTATTTGAAGTATTTTAGAAACCACCGCAGTTCATTTTTAGAATTTCGTCTAATGACCATTATAATAGCAAATTTATGTGCGAAAATTTATGGATCAATTGTAATTCTTTGTTATAACATTTACGTACGTTTTGGTCATGGATTACGAAATTGTTTTATGATTGCCACTAAATTTTTTTGATTCTATTTATGATCACTAAGGTTAGTTAAATAGTCCAAGTTTAGTCACTGACCGTTACCTTCCGTCACTCTCCATTAATGCGCCAGTTTTTTGCTAATGTGCCTAATAGACAGTGACGGAGCCATAAAATTGGCTAAGTGGGTGTTTATTCATATCAGTAAAAATAAACTATATATAATAGAAAAGTCAACATAAACGAAATAAAAAATCGACAGTAGAATACTCAATATTTTTACAATGACATAATAATAGTTCGACTCACACCACTTATAACGAACAACGAAGAGATTTCATATTCTGAAAACATTGCAGAACACATTCCTTGTGAAAACATGTCACCAACTCATCGTTTATCCGATTTTGAATATAATTTTTTGTATATTCATGGGTGAAAATTATCTTCTCACACTTATAGTTGCAACATACAGATAATTGTCAACTTGAGAACTAAATAAATAGATAGATATGGTTTGTGCTTATTTGTTTTCACTTTTTTTCTAACTCGTCAACCCTTTGTAAGTTTTTAAACATGCCATCAAATGGTAGATAAAATAATACATGAATTCAACTTATGAACGAGAAATATCATAAGATTTGGGGTAATTGGTATGAATCGTACTAGTATCGACAGGGGAAAAAACAACCGTTGGGAACTTCTTATGAGAATAATAATAGTTGTAGGTTTAATTTTAGAACTAACTTATTATTTTCTATAAAGAATCGTAAGATTTATTAGAAACTCATCAAGTGAAGATTGTAAGAAAGATTGTTTAGTATTAGCCGGTCAAGGGTAATTCCCCAAAACTTACTTTTCCCTTCGTAAATTTTTGTTGCTCCTCCGAGCCAAGGAGGGTGCAAGCACCCCCCAACCTAATGAGTGGCTCCGCCACTTCTAATAGATTCGCCTAGATCAACCTATTTTAACTCGCAAAAAGTTTATACCAGACCCGCCACGTCACTAAAACCTCAACCCGTGACCAACCCTTCTTGACCCGCCTGCCCTGAAAAGTATCTATCCATTACCAATCTCCCAATACCTCTCGTCGCTATGCCTAATCATGGTTGTGCTTTAGCCCCAATCTCCGTTCCATCTTTACCACAAAAAAAAAAACTCGCACATGCGAGGAAACAATACAAACACATAACGAGACCGTTACGTGGATTCTTTGGATAAAACCTCCCACGCAACGTGTCTCGCAAGAATCGAACAATAATTTAAAGAAATTGACTTAGGGCGAAGAGAATTAGGGCTAGAACGATCAGAAATCGACTTAAGACGAAAAGAGGTCAGGCGATAAAAGGACGAAGCAACAAAGTGAGTTGGGTTCCAATCTTCTCATGACATTAAACTAAAGTGATCGTCGCAATGGAAACATAAGCCTTGTGCCCTTCTCGTCGCTACTTCTTCTAGTGACATTCTTCTTGCAGTAGGAACTCGTGGTGGCGCGGGTTGAGGTGGTGTGAGTATAGGTTCGGCCGCCGCCTCAACTTGGCCTTTTGGTGTATTTCTTGGCACTCCTCGATGTTTTCTCAACTCATCATTTTTCGCTTTGGAAAGTAGAATGGCCTCCCCAACTATTCTTGGCCTGAACATGCGTATCGCGTCCGAAATCTCCAGTTTAAGCCCACCAATGAAGGAGCCCACCAATGCCTCTTCATTCCACCCGTAGCATCGATTACCCAACTTCTCAAAATTTAAGAGATAATTGTTCAATGATCCCATTTATTTAATCTTTGCGAGAGCTTTGTGGTTAGAAGTGCTTTCTAAAGGTCTGAATCGAACCTACAACTCTTCTCTAAACCGAGCCCATGTAATTGATTGCCCGGTCGTTGTAGTAGTGCGATACACCCATTTCCACCATTAATTAGCATCCCCTTTCAAATGATAAGACACCAAAAATGCATTTTGCTCCTCTAGAATTGGTTGAAATTTGAAGAACTGCTTGACTGGCGCAAACCATACAGATGGATCCTCTTGCCCATTATCTTGGGCTTGAAGAGCCAACTCTTTTCTTCTCTCCCATCAATTCCTGACTCAGTTGGACACACCTGGCTTCGCCCAGCTCCATTAAATGTCCCTGAAGCCCAATCGTTGCCTGACCTAGTCCTCATGCTCAACCCAATCATAGGAGAGACCAACTGGCCTCCTCAATTCTCTCTTGGCCCATATTGGCCGAAATAGCCAGGCCTGCCCCGCAAGGATCCGCCTTCCATTGAGAATGCAGTCTGCCTCGACCCACCACCCGAACATGATCACTTGAATCCGTGTAGGCTATTGTCAGAGGTTAGCACGTATCAACAACTATCCCATCCTAGGCCAAGTTTAACCTAGAACGACATTGTCATATAGTGGTAATCAAGGTCGTATTCTACTCGGGTCTCGGTACCCTATCCTACTTCCCACCTAGTTGCTAATTAGTTAATCGGTTTTTGAGGTTTTGAGTGGATGATATGAGGAAACACTAGTCTAAAGATTGATCAAAGCTAAAAGTAGGTACTTCGGGGAACTATCCCTCCCCCTAGCTTAGGGTCACTATGCATATATAGATACTTAGGGTCATCGAATGTGGTGAGTGAGCTCTTTTCTGTGGGCTTTCGTGGTTATCCATACGCCTTTGAGTACACCTCCTCTAAACCCATGTTCTAGTCACCTCGATCTAGGCTATTGTATCTAGGGCATTAAGCTTATGGCTCATTTCAATGGACACTATCCAACGTCCACACCAAGGTTACATCCTGGGTTTCATCTAGGTTGGCTAACTATAGCAGGGGTTCGGTCGCCTCAACCACTGCAGGCCTCCATTCACACATCTAACCTAAACTCGCCAGTTGGCGGATACCCGTCTAACCCTAGAACTCCGTACCCAACGCGGTAGCATAAAGTAGGCTAAGAGGGAAGATTAGGGAAAATTACCCAAGCATCATCAATTAGGAAAGAGTGGCATTAAAATCAACTAGACAAACACATTCTTTCATTCAAACCCTAAAATATCCATATATACATAGTAAACCCTAAAACTACGGTTTGGGGTTTAGAACTTCTAGTACCTTAGAGGACTACTCCATAAAGGAGGGAAGAAGATACATGGTAGAAATAGAAGAAGAATTGGGGTTGAAGAAGATGCCTCCTTGCTCCTAGCTTCTCCTTCTTCTCCTTCCTTCAGCTTCTCTCTCTTTTCTCTCTCTAGAACCAAAAATTTCTCTCGAAATCAGCTCTCTTCAAAAGGGGAAAGGGGTCTTTTATTTATAGGCATTCTGGACTAGGGAAAGTTCGTTTCCTGAGGATGTGAGATCGCGGGCGTGATCTTCTGAGGACAGGCCGAAATCTTAAGACAACGTCGTTATGGCCTTCTGAAGACTGGAGATCGCGGGCTGGCTTCGTGGTTGCGATCTACGAGTCGTGGCTTCGATCTTCCTCTCGAGCAAAGTGAATGTTAGTCGTGATGCGACTAGGGAAACTCTCTGCTTCTCTAAGGCTCCTTCAACGTGAAGTTCGTGCCCTGGGCCTCCAAGATCGCGGTCGCGATCTTTGGCTTCTGGGCCACGATCTTCAATTCCCACCCCTTCTCTACACTTGTGACCTTGTTTTGTACCTAATTCGCACATATCGACTAATACACCCTAAAATCACATCAAAATCAAACAGAAATCATGGTCATCCATTTTGTAGAACACTTGATGGACATCTAACTACATCACAAGGGAATTGATCAAACCGTGCCCACCAAGGCTATAATAAAGCTTCACCCACATAAAAAAAAACATGCACTCAATCAATCCTATTCCTTCCCCCACTCAATTAAAGCAATTTATCAAAGAGTACCAAATTGCTCACCCTAAAACCCTAGGCTTCAATTTGTCAAACAATGAA